TGAGGCCATTGATGAAGAACCTACGTTAATGATGGCATTTGTACAAGAAGCTGCACCAGGTGAGATGTCCTTAAATGAAGAGATTTTAGTTAATCTTCTTGCATCAGGGGAATCCCGAGTTCAGTCCAATGTGTGGTATCTCGACAACGGAGCTAGCAACCACATGACAGGAGACCGTTCGAAGTTTCACGAGCTAGATGAAAGGATCACGGGTCGAGTAAAGTTTGGGGATGGCTCGACAGTAGCCATTTTGGGGAAAGGATCGATCTTATTCGATTGTAAAAATGGCAACCAAAGACTTCTTAATGAGGTATATTTCATTCCAAGCTTAAGAAATAATATAATAAGTCTTGGTCAAATGACACAGGAAGGGAGTCGGGTCGAAATGGTTGGGACGTTATTAAAGTTGTTTGATAGGAACAACAATCTTCTTATGACGGTACAAAGATCACCAAGCCGTCTATATAAAATTCCTTTGAAGACGGGTCTCCCAAGGTGTCTTCTTATACGAGATGAACCAGTTTGGGTATGGCATTCGAGACTCGGGCATGTCAACTCTCATTCTTTAAGGAGATTAGCCGAGAAGATTATGGCAACAGGTGTCCCTTTGTTCAAACACCCAAACGAGGTGTGTGAAGGGTGTGTTCTTTCGAAACAAACTCGAGCTCCTTTCCCGGATCAAGCTATTTTCCGAGCTCGAAAACCTCTCGAGCTCGTACACGCTGACTTGTGTGGTCCTATTACGCCTACGTCAATTGGAGGAAGTAAGTATTTCTTCCTCTTAGTTGATGATTTTAGTAGGTGGACGTGGATTTATATGTTAACAGCAAAGTTTGATGCCTTGGATACGTTCAAACGGTATAAGATGATGATTGAAAAGAGCTCGGGTCAAAAACTAAAGATCCTACGTACAGATCGGGGGGGAGAATTCATGTCAAATGAGTTCTCGAAATTTTGTGAAGAGAGTGGTATAAAGAGGCATCTGCCAGCACCTAACTCGCCACAAAAAAAGGGCGTTGTAGAACGGCGAAACCGAACAATTATGGAAATGGCAAGGAGCCTTCTTAAGGGAAGAAACGTACCCGGAGAATTCTGGGGTGAAGCCGTCAGATATGCCGTTTATTTGGTGAACCGCTTACCAACAAAGTCACTTCCTGATATCACCCCATATGAAGCTTGGTTTGGTAAAAAGCCGAACCTTGAACACCTAAAAGTCTTTGGTTGTGTTGTTTTTGCTAAAATTACAGGAACTCACTTGAAAATTTTGGATGATCGAAGCAACAAGATGGTGTATCTTGGAGTTGAAGATGGAACAAAAGGCTATCGCTTATATGATCCACAAGAACGAAAGTTGAAGGTTAGTCGACATGTTGTGTTCGATGAAAAGGAAGACTGGAATTGGTGTTCAGATAAGGAGGAACACTTGCCAGTAGCCGACTCTTTTACCATAATTAACCCACAACCCAAAACACAACCAAAAAACTCACAAAACAGCCCCGAAACTGAACAAGAACAACCCGAAAGCCCCGAAACTGAATCTGTCAATTCTGGAAAGCCCTTCCTTGATAATGTACAACCTGTTTCAACTCCTAATACTACAGCCCTTGACCCACTTTCATCACCCGCTTTACAAACCAGCAGCTCCTCATCTGAAATTGGACCTCAAGGAATTTGTACTTTGGCCGAAATAAATAAGTACGCCAAGAACATAACTCTCGACCCAGAAGAATTAATGATGATCGAAATGGATCAGCCTTCATCTTTTATGGAAGCTGTGACCTCAAAGGCATGGAGGAAAGCTATGCGAGCGAAGATGGATTCAATCGAAAAGAACAAAACATGGCAACTTATTGACTTACCACCGGGTCATAGAGCAATTGGTTTGAAATGGGTTTATAAAGTGAAGAAAGACAACATGGGAAATGTGGTGAAGTATAAAGCACGGCTTGTCGCAAAAGGGTACGTACAAAAACAAGGGGTTGACTTTGAAGAGGCTTTCACACCGGTAGCAAGACTTGACACCATAAAGCTGATTCTCGCTTTAGCAGCTCAACACGGGTGGGTTGTTCACCATCTCGACATCAAATCAGCCTTCCTTAACGGAGATCTTGAGGAGGAGGTTTATGTCTTGCAACCGGAAGGATACATCCACAAAGATAAAAGTCACAAGATGTTGAAATTGTCCAAGGCTCTCTATGGTCTACGTCAAGCACCCCGAGCTTGGAACACACGTTTAGATAAGAGCTTGAAAGGGCTGCATTTTTCTAAAAGTTCACAAGACCCAGCTGTTTATACAAGAAACTCGACAGGTAAAGTGCTTATTGTTGGTGTTTATGTTGACGATTTAATAATTATCGGGTCAAGTCATGAAGATATTTTAGATTTCAAAGAACAAATGAAGAATGAATTCGAATGGAGCGACTTGGGGCTGCTAGCTTATTATCTCGGTATTGAAGTGTCGCAATTGAAGTGGGGAATTACCTTGCGACAAACGTGTTATGCCAGAAAGATCTTGGAGCGATTCGGTTTGGAAGCTTGCAACGCGGCAAAAATTCCTATGGAACCAAAGTTGAAAGTTGATAACAATGAAGGTGGTGAAGAAGTCGACACTACTGAATATAGGCGAGTGGTTGGATGTTTGAGGTACTTGACTCACACTCGCCCAGATTTGTCTTTCTCAGTTGGTGTAGCAAGTTGGTTTATGGAAAGACCAACAACTTTGCATTTTCAAGTTGTGAAACACATCTTAAGGTATGTTAAAGGCACTCTTGGTTACAGGATTAATTATGGGAAAGGTCATGAGTTCGAGCACTTAGTCGGGTTCACAGATAGTGACCATGGTGGCGATACGGTCGGTGGTAAAAGCACGAGCGGCATGATCTTTTATCTCGGGAAGAATCCGATTACATGGCAATCTCAGAAGCAACAAACGGTCGCTTTATCCTCATGTGAATCCGAATTTATTGCAGCAACAGCAGCGGCATGCCAAGCTATTTGGCTTGCAAATTTGGTGAAAGAACTTACGGGTCAACACATGGAGCCGATTACATTGTATGTCGACAACAAATCGGCAATCGCCTTGATGAAAAATCTTGTATTTCATGGACGAAGTAAACACATCAACACTCGGTTTCACTTCATACGCGAACGTGTTGAAGACAAGCAAATCGTAGTGGAACATGTCAGCTCAAAAAAATCAATGAGCGGATATATTTACCAAAGCTTTGCCACAGGTAACATTTATCGAAATGCGAAGTAAACTCGGTGTGACGAATGCCGAGCTTAGTCCAGTTTAAAGGGGAGAATATGAAGTGTAAACCGGACTCGGGCGGGCCAAACCCGATCTAGATTCGACTCCGTTTTTGCATGTGGAATAGAAGAATGGGTCAAATTTGCATGTTGTTGAAAGTTCCTTATTTCTTGGTAGAATAAAGAGAAGCAGTCAGCCAGCTCTCCCACTACTCTGCTCTCCCACTACTCCTTGTTATTTGCATTTAATCAGTTATTTTGCTTCCTATTTATATGTTATTTTTCTCTGCATTTGTAAGCATAAGATTTCATTTTTTGTTTCTCTCGTACTGTAAGTCTCAAGTTAATGAAAAGGCAATTTTGATTGCATATCTTTCTTACTTAATTTCATCTTCTTCACTCATCTATATACAGTAGATCCGTCTGTTTTGTTTTCAACATAGAATGTGTCCTAATATCCCTTTAGTGAAGATGCACGACTTTGTGACTAATACACTGTGAAAGTCGAGTCCCTCAACATCCCAATGTTGACCAACATCACATCACTCCTTGGGTATGCCTTATCCTGTAACATATTTTGTAAATTCTCACCAATTTTCTATGGACACAAGAATTTCCTTGTAGCTGTGACAACAGGTATAGAACCTCAAAACTTCAACGATGCAACGAAGGGTCCTGCTGGTTGAGAAGCAATGCAGAAAGAGATTCAAACTTTAGAAGATAAAAGAATTTGGATTATGGAGAATTTTCCTCCCCAAAAACGAGCACTTAGTAGTAGATAGGTCTGCAAAATAATGTACTATTCATATGATAGTATTGAGCATCTCAAAGCTCTCCTGGTGGTGTTCAACAATCATCAAGTTGTCAGGATTGTTGCAGAGATGGTTACCATATGTGGTTTCCTAGCTGTAGCTGCAGCAAAGAATTGGGAATTGCATCAGATGGACTTTCGCAGATACTTATCTAAAGAAGTCTACATGAAATTGCTTCTGGATTTGATGGTGCTTAACTAGATCAAGCGTGCCGATTACGCAAGTCTCTTTATGGGTTAAAACAGGCCCCTCATATTGGTTTGCAAAATTAGTATGATTATTCATTGTTTACCTTACTACAAGTGTTAAAACATAAGCTAGTAATTATAGYTGTTAAGTATTCAACTGGTAGTTACTTTCTGTTAGTTTTTATATGACAGTTAAATAACTGTCATATGAACAGTGGTGTCTGTTGGGTATTGAAGGGTTGCAACCCTTCGTCAAATCTGTGTCTGTATATAACCTCTGTATTTTAGTTTTCTGCTTTAGTGGGGATTAAATAAAATATTTGCATAATCAAAGGTTCAATCCAACATTGTGGTATCATAGCCATATATGCAAATGGCTTCAACATCAATCAAACTTGTGAACCTTCAACTCCCAAAATTAAATGGGAAAATTTATTATCATTGGAGCATTCAAATGAAAGTGTTATTTGAATTGCAAGAACTATGGGACGTAATTGATCAAGGGTATAAATATCCTGATCAATTCAGTGAAATCTCAGAAGAACAAGAAGAAATTTGAAACTTAAAAAAGAAGGACAGGAGAGCATTGTACATAATCTACCAGGCTGTAGATGAAATCATCTTCGAACGCATCACATCTTCAAAATCTGCAAAGGAAGCATGGGATATGTTGTACAAGACATACCGAGGAGAAGACAGAGTAAAATTGGTAAAATTACAAACCTTGAGGTGCGAATTTGATGCACTCAAGATGAGAGACTCAGAAACTGTGGAAGAATTCTACAATCACACAATTCTGATACTCAATCAACTAAGGTTGAATGGCGAAAGTATAGAAGATAAAAAGGTAGAAGAGAATATCCTTAGAAGCCTTGCAAGGAAATTCGAATACATAGTAGTAGCAATCAAGGAATCTAAGGATTTAGACTTCATGTCACTCGAAAATCTGCTTGGAATCCTACAATCACATGAATTAAGGATGAGACAGTTCGATATCTCACCGTTTGAACAAGCCTTCCAATTACATTCAGCAGATGGACAAGAAAGGGGAAAAACATTCGACATAAATCAACAGCATGATAACAAAGAAAGGTTCAAGGGAAGAAACACAACACCAGTCAAATGTCGATACTGCCAAAAATTTGGCCATATTGCCAAATATAGCAGAAAACGAATTGCAGAAGAAAGAGGATCTACCTTTTTAAATATAGAAGCCAATAATGAAGACGACTCAATGTTCATGATACTCAACACCCAAGAAGTATCAACAGTTGATACTTGGTATATAGACAGTGGGTGTAGTAACCATATGACAAACAATAAAGGACTCTTTACTCAATTGGATGAAACTCAGAAACGAGAAGTAAGAACAGGAGATGATAAGAGACTAATTGTTCAAGGGATTGGAGAGATCTCGATTGACACCAAGTTAGGACACAAAAAAATATCAAATGTCTACTTTGTTCCTAATTTAAAGCACAGTCTGCTTAGTGTGGGACAGCTTCTTCAAAGGAGGTATGATGTTCATTTCAGAAACAACACTTGTGAAATAAGAGATCCAAATGGGATTCTACTGGCGAGGGTCAATATGACCACAAATAAGATGTTTTCTCTCAATTTCAAAGGGGACACCTTATTCTCGTTTAACATGTCTACCAAACAGAACTCTCTTTTTGGCATCTAAGGTTTGGACATGTTAACTTTGGGTATCTAAATTTTATGCACAAACATAACTTGGTTTTGGGACTACCTAACATCAACAAGATAGATGAAAATTGTGAAGCCTGCATACTTGGGAAACAGTCAAGAGAACCTTTTCCTCAAGAAAAGGCATGGAGAGCTCTCAAGCCACTTGAACTCATCCACTCAGATGTGTGTGGACCCATGAAAACAGCCTCCATCTCTGGAAACAGGTACCTACTCACCTTTATGGATGATTTTAGTAGAAAACTTTGGGTTTACTTCTTAAAAGAGAAATCAGAAGTATTTGATATTTTTAGAACTTTCAAAGTATTTGTTGAAAAACAAAGTGGATACCAAGTCAAGACCCTTAGATCAGATGGGGGTGGTGAATTTCTTAAGAGAAAATGGCATTCACCACCAAGTGACTACTAGATATACACCTCAACAAAATGGGGTGGCAGAGAGAGTAAACAGAACTCTCATTAACAAACCCAGAAGCATGATGAAAAGCAAATGATTAGATGATCAATATTGGGCAGAAGCTGTTTCATGTGCATGCTACTTACTAAATAGAACCTCCACATAAAGCCTCTCAAATATGACTCCTCAAGAAGCATGGAGTGGCCGTAAACCCACTGTTGCACATCTAAGGACATTTGGTTGCTTAGCATATGCACATATACCAGACCAGAAAAGAAGTAAGTTGGAAGACAAATCAGAAAAACCATTTTTGTTGGGTATAGTGAGAGGTCAAAATCATACAAGCTCTACAATCCAATTACTAAGAAAACTATTGTCAGTAGAGATGTAACATTTGAGGAAGGAAAAGCATAGAATAACTCTTTAAGTTCAAACGACAATGTCATTCAAGACATAAGTGGAACAGAAGTACCTAAGGAAGCTGATACAAGTGATGCTGATCAAAATGCTACTCTAGCAAGTTCAAGTCAAGGTGATCAAAGTCCAATTTCACCAATAAGAGAATATGATATGCAAAGATCAGATCCTTAAGAATCCTCCTCAGAAAGTCCACCTAAGAGAGGATTTAGGAGCCTAAATGATATCTACAACACTACAAGGAGGATAGACGTCAATGATGTAGCAGACTTTGCACTATTTTCTGATGCAGACCCTTTGCTATTTGAAGATGCTATTCAAGAGGAAATATGGAGAGAAGCAATGGATAAAGAAATTGAAGCCATCTTAAAGAATGATACCTGGGATTTAGTTGATCTTCCAAAGGGTCACAAACCAATTGGAGTCAAATGGATCTACAAAACAAAATTGAATGAGAAAGGAGAAATCGACAAGCACAAAGCAAGCTTAGTGGTTAAAGGTTACAAACAAAAATATGGTATTGATTACCAGGAAGTATTTGCACCAGTTATAAGATTGGAAACTGTGAGACTAGTACTAGCTATTGCTGCTCAACACAGTTGGAAAGTACATCAGATGGATGTAAAATCAGCTTTCTTAAATGGAAAGCTAGAAGAGGATGTGTATATAGAACAACGAGAAGGTTATGTGAAGAAAGAGGAGGAACATAAAGTGTGTCATCTAAAGAAGGCTTTATATAGGCTTAAACAAGTACCACGTGCTTGGTATAGCAGAATTGAAGGCTACTTTCAAAGCAATGGTTTCAAAAAATGTCCACAAGAACATATTGTGTTTACAAAGAGGACTGATGGTATGATGCTCATTGTATGCATATATGTGGATGATCTAGTTTTCACAGGAAATTCATCAAAAATGGTTGAAAGAATTCAAGGAATCAATGAAGAAGGAGTTCGATATGATAGACATGGGACTTCTTCGCTACTTCCTGGGAATTGAAGTGAAACAAGAAAATGAGAAAATCATGATCTCTCAACAAAGGTATGCTCAAGGCCTGTTAAATAAATTCAACATGACTGAATGCAATTCTGTAAATACACCTATGGAATTTGGACTGAAGTTGTCAAAAGAAAGCAGGGATAAAGAAGTTGATCCTAGTCTCTATAGAAGTTTGGTTGGAAGTCTAATGTATTTGACTGCTACCAGACCTGATTTGGTATTCTCAGTTGGTATAATCAGCAGGTTCATGGAATCACCAAAAAACTGTCACTGGGAGAGAGGAAAGAGGATTCTCAAATATGTAAAAGGCACTCTTAATTACGGCATCACTTATTCTAAGGTACTGGATTTCAAACTGATTGGATATAGTGATAGTGATTTTGGTGGAAATTTAGATGATGGAAGAAGCACAGCAGGTTACATTTTCAATTTAGGATCAGGGGATGTATCTTGGCAATCCAAAAAGTAAAGTGTGGTTGCTTTATCATCTACAGAAGTAGAATATATCTCTATCAACAGCTGGTTGTCAAGCCTTATGGTTAAGATCTCTGTTACTAGAGTTAGAGCATGCTGAAGGTAATCCTACCACTATCTACTGTGACAATCGTTCTGCAATTGCATTAACCAAGAACCCTGTGTATCACGGGAAGAGCAAGCACATACGAATAAAATGCCATTTCATTCGTGAATTGGTATCTAATGGTGAAGTAACAGTGGCCTCTTGTGGATCAAAGGAGCAATTAGCAGATTGCTTTACAAAAGCACTTCAGATTGGAAGCTTTGCAAACATGAGGGAAAGATTGGGAGTTTTACCATTACTAGCTTAAGGGGGTGTGTTAAAACATAAGCTAGTAATTATAGCTGTTAAGTATTCAACTGGTAGTTACTTTCTGTTAGTTTTTATATGACAGTTAAATAACTGTCATATGAACAGTGGTGTCTGTTGGGTATTGAAGGGTTGCAACCCTTCATCAAATATGTGTTTGTATATAACCTCTGTATTTTAGTTTTCTATTTTGGTGGAGATTAAATAAAATATTTGCATAATAAAAGGTTCAATCCAACAACAAGGAAATGTTCGTATAAATCTTCTTATTTATGTGGATGATTTTATTATTCCAAGGAATGATTTCGCTACTCTTTCCTCTTTGAAAAAGTATTTGAGTTGGTGCTTTTAATGAAAGATATCGGCATCTTGAAACGCTGATGTTATTTTTCTTTGTCAACTTAAATATTTATATACCTTTCATATTATCACTGAGATTGCAACATCATCATTTGGCACGCTCGACTAGCCTTTTATTAACAAATGTTGAGCAATATAGGAGGTTGGTGGGACGCCTTATTAATTTTTCTTGTACTTGGCCAGATTTGATATATGTAGTCCATATCTTACCTCAATTCATTCATGACCCTCGTCGTGATCATTAGGATGCAGCGTTGAGGGTTGTGGGCAGTCCATATCAAAGTTTTCTTTTGTGTTCTAATTGTGATTTGCATTTATCTGGGTGGTGTGGTTTAAACTAGGCGAGTTGTCCTCTTTCTCATCATTCTGTCCCTGGATGGCACCGTTTTTTAGGCAATTCTCCTATTTTGTGGAAGACAAAAAAGCAGATGATTGTCTCTTGATCCCTCGAAGAAGTTGAGTATTGTACTATGATGCCCGTGACTTGTGAACTTAAATGTCTTAAAGGGTTTCTTCATAGTTTGGGTGTGCAGCTTCCTCGTGCTATCAGTCTTTGTTGTGAATGCCAGTCTGCTAACATCTTCCTAAAAATCGGGTTTTCCACTAGCGTACAAAGTATATCGAGGTTGATTGCCCTTTTCTAAAGGATGCTATTAAATGTGGGACTCTCAATCCTTCTCATGTTTCGACGAATTGCCAACTGACAAATATTTTTACGAAGCTTTAGACAAATATCAATTTGATTTTCTCATTAACAAGTTGGAATCTGTACTCTTTATGCTCCAACTTGACACCCTTTCGGGACTGCAAATGTAGTGCGTGGCCGTGCAGCTAAAATGCATGCGGTTACGCACTGTACAAGAATGTCAAATTCATCTTTTTCTCTTGCTCATTGTCGCATGGCTTAATCATGTGCAGGCATGAGCAACTTGCCAATCTTTTTTCTTCATTTGTACACTGAAAACACTTTCGAAAACATGAATATATTCACAACATGAATAATTGTATTTACACATGCACATTAAACGTCGAATCCCAGGAGCGGAAAGGTCCGATTAAAGCCCAGTTACGACCCAACGGTTATGGTTGGTAAAGATTTTTTAGCCTAGGACTAGTTATGTAAAGGTTAAATCAAATAAAAAGTACTCAAAATTTTACAACCCGCGGAAACTAATCACAACCATTCAGTGACTTAATTTCATTTTAAGTACTCAAATTCAATGTGTTTTACATGTTTTGTTTTTGTATGTATTTGTATTTATTTTTTTTCACATGTGAAACATTGAATCACGTGGTTCTAGTATGAATTTGGGAACATGTATGATTCATAAATAAAACATCAATATGTTTCACATGTATAAATTAGTTTTCACAGTCTCTAATCATTTTATGGTTTCCTATGTGCATGCATGTGTGCCCAGAAAGGACCATTTTGGACCATCAGATATCAATTAATTACAAAATCTAGCTCAATGACCGATTAGGGTCTGCCCAGTACGTTTGCGAAGGATTATGACCGCTTACATACGATTAACGATTGAAACTCATTTTTTTTGTAATCTTCAGTTGTACTTCCTTTTTGGTTGGTCGATTATTGTTACATTCCTTCAATGGTATGGGTTTGTGTTACTATATATATAGGCGAAGGATCGTGTGAGAAGGGAAGTTATGGTAGAAGCGTAAGAAGAGATCTGAACCCATGATCAATACTAGCTAATTGAATGTCAACACTAATGAGGTGCACCGAGACGCAATAGATCAATTCCCTCTTCAAGCGCAATTAATGGGTGCGTATGAGATTAAAAGTGTTCAAGGGTTCAATTCTCTTCTTAAGTTTCTCAGTATAACTTCTCCTCTCACACTATCTTTTGCATACATACATATATATATATATACATATATACATATATATACATATACATATATATATATATACATATATATATACATATATATATATATGGGGGGAAGATTCATTTGAGAAGTGAGGAAGTGATCCTATCATTTCATCTGGTCAACATTTGCATCTTTAACCGTGAAGCATCGGATAATTCCTTGCATGGGTATGTGGAAGATAGAGGGGTAGTTTCGTAACTTTTAAAAATAGGCGGCAGACGTGTTCATATGTGAACTCATGTGATACACATATGAACTATTTGTTCATACGTGAACCCGTTAATTAGTTCACATGTCAACTATTTAACTGATTCATATATGAACCCATTGGTTCATACATGAATCAGTTAATTAGTTCATATGTAAATCACGGATCATATATGAATCAGTTAATTAGTTCATATGTAAATCATGGTTCATATGTAAATCAGTTAATTAGTTCATATGTGAATCAGTTAATTAGTTTATATGTGAATTAATTAAATAGTTCGTATGTGAATTACATGAGTTCACATATGAACATATAGTTCATATGTGAATCATATAGGTTCATATATGAATCATATAGGTTCATATATGAATCATATAGGTTCATATATGAATTAATTAGTTATATGTGAATTAGTTAAAATAGTTCATATGTGAATTACACGAGTTCACATATGAACATATAGTTCATAAGTGAATCATATAGGTTCATATATGAACCCGTTTGCCGTCTATTTATAAAATTTACGAATTGACCCTCTCTATTTTTTACATTGCCGCAATTTTTGACCAGTCAAAATCGTTATTATTGACCGGTCAAATAAGCAATTATTGACCAGTCAAATCCGATCTTAACTGTATGAAGCGTTAGGATCACTTCTTTCTTCTCAAATATTTACCACTTTTCAAGTCTAACATCAATAATTTTGTAACTCCTATAATTAAAATTCATTTACTCACTACTTTTAGCAAACACTACAAAAAATATATATCAGGAGTAAAATGGGCATTTATGACATTCAGACGGTTTATTCAGCACGACAACCGAACAATAACTTATATTTTATCATACAGACAACTTTATCAATACAAACATCTTTTATTCATGCAGGTTTTAATAGAAAACGAACCGAATAGCCTTTTAACTCGAACTGGTTCACATAGATATGCTTCAACCATGCAATATTTCTAGACCAGTAACTAGTGTAATAACTAATAACCATCAAAATATAGAAAAATTCAAAGCCACAAAAAGATTGCGTTAAAAAAATATTGGAAATTGAATCAAACTTTACTGAGAAATAACAAAATTGTATTTATTTTATAATACCACTCCACAAAAAATTCTTTGAATGTCGTTAGTTCAAATCGAAAATATTCCTAGATCCGTCTTTGATGTCATTAGCTCAAATTCTCCAAGGACCACTAAAAGATTCAGTCGCTTTTAACCTTAAACCCGAAACATATCAAAAAGTAGAAAGGGGGAACATATGGTCAAATCAACCACAAGCGTTGTAGTGTAGTGGTTGATATCTTAAAGGATGTGGTCGAATATCTCATCTGCTCAGGGTTTGACTCCAAAGGCATACAACAATTGTGGCACCAAAAACCATAACGGTAATGCTTGATTGGTTTGAGCTTAGGCTCCAAAGATCAAAAATGTCTGAAAGTCTCAGGTTCAAATCCCTTGTGGCCACAGAGGCAAAAAGCAGGTGGTCACCTTAGGATTAGTCGGCTCGCATAAAGGGTTAGATATCCAAATCAATCAAAAAAAATTTGTCATCGCCAAATTTATCAGGATTAATTTCTTGCATTCACAATTTACCAGAATTGACACCCTTAAAAAATAACATATGGTCAAATTTATATTCAATTCCCAAGTGTATTCAAATGTATCAAACCCAAAGAAATATATTTTACAAACCAAGCCTATCTACAACTTAAAAAAGAAAAAACCCTTCAAATCCAAAACAATGTACAACTTCCACCACAATAAGAACCTATAATATATCGTTCTTCTTTTGACCGGGAGACGATCAAAAGTCCAAATCAAACGGTAATTATATGTACAAATAGACGTCGTCTGTACAGAAACTGCAGCGCCTTCACCGGTAACGAGGGTCATAAGAGATAGTAATAGGATCCACAATGATGAGAGGCAACTTCTGGATGTACATAACAAGTCTCCTCAAATTCTCCTTGGCAATTGCTGGTAAATTGATGACTTCATAACGACAAGTGTAGATCCATAGGTCACATGAGTTTACCCGTTTTAAACTTTCACGGCAGAACGGGCATGATTGAGATCGAGCACACCTGAATCACACTCCAACTATATATCATGCACTTATAATATGGTCATTAGCAAATCTTACGGGTAAGGATGATGGCGGGACTAATTTTCACATGCAGGAAGGAAAAAGAGGAAAATGCAACAAAGTGTTGTTTACTTCCTATTTAGTGAAACGAAGAATTCTTTGTCAATCGATGTAACAAATTTTCTTATTTTGTACTCGTTACGACCGGTAACCCACTCATGTGGATACCCTTTTACAAAAGGGTTACCACAAAAGGGATGATAAACTTGCCATCCACATCATATACAAGATCATGAGGTTATCTGTCAAAATGGGTACAAAATAGGTATAAAATAGAAAATCTTTGCAACTTGTTACATTGATTGATCAGAAACAAAAATGTGTTGCACTAAATAGGAGCTAAAGTAAACTTCATCGCATTTTAATGGATTTTTCTCTACGGAAAAGGGCAGAAAAATGTGTAGCCTTTTTGACCTCAAGTTGGACCGGTAAAATCAAAAACCTGAATCCGAATTGCATGTATTTACCCAAATACCCTTCATGTGTATAAATACAATACAACAAAAGTATGCATTATTGGGTCCCCGAAAAACTAGCATTTCTATTTCGGTCTTTTGCTTGAGGGGTAATTTAGCAATATCATGAATATGCAACTCTCTTCTCACTATGGCATAGTACCAAGAAGCATTTTGTAATTGAAACGTATCATGTATCCACGTCGTATCTATACACATGTATATATATATATATATATGTGTGTGTGTGTGTGTGTGTGACAAATGGAGTAAACTCACCAATTTGTGTAGCACTTCATGCACAATGAATGGTTGCAATCGGGCAAGACAACCTTGGTGTTCAACTCTAAGCAGATCCCACATTCTTCCTCACGCTCCATGTCGATTTCAGATAGTTTCCCTTTGTTCATCTCATCAGTTCTTCGATACTTTGATGCACAAAACTCCTTCTGTTTCCTATCTTCGATATCAGTGATTCCCCTTTGAAGTTGCAGTAGAGACGGAAATATAACACCTATTCACGGCATCCCAAAGTGAGTACCAACTTTATTTGCTAAAACACAAACAAAGAAAGATCGAGCAAAAGGTACCATAGAATTCTCTTAGAGTAGCTTTGCGCTCGTGAATATACATGCTTGTCTTGCCATCCTCGTATGCCTGCAATGCCATGTAACGACAAATTTATATGATTCAAAAATGTCGAAAATAAACATCAAACTCCTCCATTCAACATAAAATTATTAACTACACACAGAAAACATTTCAAGAAGTGGTTACATTTTCGTAATTTAGAGGTCGACGAACTTATGGTACAAACAAAAACATATGCACAATCGTGAGTTCCTTGCCAATGTGCAACACTCCATAGATGAGGATACCACCAACACATATAAAACATCAAGAAGTTATATGATTGCTAATTATAGAACAACAATTTCTGGTCAACATTTACTCCAGACAAAGGGGTATATATATGGCCTTTTTTAACTCTATCGTCACTTAATACAGAACATTTGGTAACCACGATCTCCTGTCACACCTCTTACCCCCTACAAATTTTGGTAAACAGCCCTTAAGTTATTCATGAATTATCTGATTGCTGATTGTAATGCATGCATACATATCCCAAAATACATAAGTCCATAAACATTTGTGCATATACATACATATATGTATACATATCCCAGAAATACATGCATACCTTATAAACAAGAATTCTGAGTAAACCAAGGGAACCAGCAAGATGACAGTCGCTCCATTGGACAAAGAACAGAAAGAACTGAGCACATGGGCTGTATGACAATCTCATCTGAAGGCAACCACCATCGTATTCTCTTGGATAATCTGATGCCCTGTTTTCATTAATTAGGAAAACCCGTTCATCAATCAAAAAGTACAATTAATTTAGAGAACCAATTTAGAAATAAACATAACTTTCAGACCTTCATCTGCATGGCTCTATAAATTAAGAACCCTTTTTGGGGGAAATTATAAGATTTTAAACATAATTTTCAACCAAATTATACAAAACCCATAAGCAATTAAAAGTAAAATAAGCCAATAGAGATTATGGTGTCAACAAATTCAATCCCAAATGTGTGTGTGTGTGAGAGAGAGAGAGCGTTACAGAGTATTGGCATGTTGAATATCAGCTTCAAGGGCTTTAAGGGAATCCTTGAAAGACTTCCTCATGTCCCTCCCTTCCTTCCCCTGCTCCAACCAATTCCCATCAAACAAATCAAATCTTCCTTAATTTAAACTACAGAATTCCCCAATCTCAAACCCTAAAACTCAATTCCTCTTACGAATCGACCTTCAATCAACAAATAATTAATAAACCCCCCACACAACTCGTAACTCGTGCTCTGTTTTCCCCAAACTATTCAGGTGAAAACAGCTTGAAATTGCGAGATGGAAACTACGATTCTCTCTGGATTGTAATAGATGAATCTAGAAAGTTTAGTATATTGGCGAAGGGTGAAGAGTCTTCTTAAGAAATTATGGTGCCCCACACACACACTCCACTCACACACAGTAATTGACAATGGCCTTTCACTTGAACAGCACGCTTCTCGCTCAATTGAGAGAAAGAGATTTTATCAATAGGTACAAGTTTTAAGGCATCGTGTACAAGTGCTTAATGGATAGTTGGTCTGGATTCAGTGGTTATACCTCTGGGAAAAGGAATTACAGTTCTGCCGTCTTTTTTCCGTGCTTTGGATAATTCACACCTTAGACCCTTATACTATAGAATTATGTTCTAAATGACCCTCACAATTATAAAAATATAGAAATGGTCCCTGATTTATAAAAGAAACAAATTAAAGATTGTTTATATAAACTTTTAATTGGAAATCTAACATTATAATGTACATGTTATAAACATTTTTTTCAATGGAGTAAACTTCATCCCTACACCAGTCATCTACGACCACTTTACAACAGCTTTTGTTTCTCGAACGATGCATCTGCCTCTACTTCTTGCTTCTATTTTAATTCAAAAATGGTTGTGATGGAAACCTTGATTGTTGTTGGGTTTCGAGATATGGATTTCGAAGACTGATGAGAGGAGCGATGACCGACGAGAGAAAGGACGAGGAGAGATGAGGTGGGAGAAAGGAGGAGGAGCGAGAGATGAAAACCTAATCACTCCGGAAACATGGAAACTAACTGGGGTAAGCATCATTTTAGAGCTGATATAGTAAGTTTTCGGTCAGCATTGTGGTCAGATTTTGATTTTGGTAAACACGCTGACTGTTGACCGAGTCAGCTCAGTCAGAAACTAGTAAACAACCCCTAAGTCTTTCATTAATGAATACAATTATCAAAGAAGTGACAAAATGACAAGGAAAAACAAAAAAATTAACTAAGTTCTAAATATATAAACCATAAGAAGATAATTATTTTTTAACTTTTTATATATAAGGGCATCTCCAACTTAACCACTAAAAAATAACATTAAAAACGTTAAAAATGGTGGGTCAATTGAATAATAAAAAAACCACCTCTAATCACACACTAAAAACCATCATTATTATAATAATAATAATAATAATAATAATAATAATAAAAATCTTAGTATATTAAACTTTTTACAGTTTTGGTCCCTGTGATAAAAGACAAATGAAAGAGGTTAAAAGACAAAAATACCCTCTGACTTAACTGGTTAACAAAATCTTTTTTATTCCGTTAAAGGGGAGAACTTGAAGCGTGCGTTTTTACATACCACAAGTACCAAAAGTGTAATAAACATATTTTAAGACCACAGTCGACAAACCGCCAACCATAATTTATTCGTTTCATATATATATATATATATATATATAAACAAAAATTTAAATTTAATTATTTAATAGAAATAAAAATAAAATTATGTTTTTATAGTTATTTTATATTTTAAAATCCATATCAATATCTATATTTTTACATCACATCATCAATCATGTCAGTATGGTAATCAATTAATGATTACACCAGGAATTCAGGTATTTAAAAATTTGAAACTTTTCATATTAAGTACCAAAATGAAGGTTTTTAAAAGTATGTTACATAAAATAAGAATGAGAATAAAGTATGTTACATTTTCATAGAAGTTGTCATTTGCGTTTTTAATGTTGGGTTGGAAATGATCTAATGAAAACCATGCATAGCGGTTATGAGTACAGTATATACTCAATATTTCCCAAATCAGTTTTGTTAACTGTATCGTTCTTAGGTGTTGGATGTTTTCTTTAACTAGTTCTTGGTAATTGTATATCTAATCAACAAAAAAAAATTAAGACAAAAAAGACTAAAAAATGGTGTTGCTGAATGAATCTCTTTTGTGTCTATTGGGATCATTCGTGATTCGAAAATGTTAAAAAAAACAAGTTGATGTATATAAGTATGAAATTAATAAGGGGACGTTTGATTTAATGGAATGATATCGAGGGATTTCGATTTGTGGAAGGATTTGGAATTGGATGTATCTGGATTTGGAATAATTTGAAATATTTGGTGTATTTGGTTAGTAGGATTTGGAATGAAATTGAATTCCAACTTTTATATATAATTTATAAAAACAAATTCTAAATAATTAAAAAAATTGTATTACCTTTCTACCCTTCTTTGCAAAAAATATTACATTTTTCACCCCGATCCACAAAAAAAAAAATTTAAAATTGTAGAATTAGGGCTGTTTCGGTAAACCTTTTAACGAAATGACTAAAAGGTGAAACCAACTGGTAAAAATGATTATTTTAATTAATTTCCCTATATAGAGAGAGAGGTATAGTAGAAAATCTCAAAAAATTACAAAATCGAAAAACACTTCATCAATCTTAGATTAACTGATTTAATGGATATGATTAAAGATGCGATTATAACTCTGTTTTTAAATTAAAAAAATCTCTCACCCTCCATTTTTTAATCAAAAAATAAGAAATATGATCAAAATTCTAACAAAACATATTACACCAAAAACAATCATATTTTTCTTGTTAATTTGACATCTATATTCATATACTTTTTCATGGGATGCTTGGATAAAATCCCCGACCGCCACTACTTTATAATTTTGTTCTTTTTGAATGTTGTTGTGTTTTCCATTTTTGTGGGTCGCTTTTGTTGTTATTAGATCGTTTTGTTTGTTTGCTTCAGTTTTTTGGAACCTTGGTTATTTGGCGATCGTCCCTTCATGCATTCTTTTTGTTTTGTATGCTTTATTTCTGTTTCATTTTAATATATTTGTTTTTCAATAGAAACATGATATATATAGAGAGAGATTTGAGTTATTATACAAACCTTTATGTTTGTACAATCAATACAACTCAATCTCAACCGTCCATTTAATTTGATAAATATGTGATTTCATAAAAGTTCTGATTGTTTCTTAATATAAAGTATTGAT